AATGACAAGAATAGCAAATTAATACTAAACTAAATTAAAATAACTGAAATGTACCAGAAGGAATAAAATTCAGCAATATTTGTAAAATATATGGGTTTGAAGAGTCTGTATTACATAGCTGAAATTATATGGGAGATAAGGAGGAAATTGCAATGCACGTGGTTTAATTGAAAATGAATCCTTCAAGAAATTATTTTCAAATAGGTTGGCAGATGTTCTTATGAAGATCCTGTGCTGTTTTTTGAAAATATCTGTAATTTTCCATAAATCAGAATCTCTACATAAAATGTAAACTAGACTAAACCATGACAATTTGTGTTGCTATAATCCTGAGGACAGGATTGCTTTAATGTTTGTAATCATTTTCTAGTAGTAATGGTTAGTAAAAGTGTGTAAAATTTTATATATTTTCCTGTTTTAGAGAAAAACACATTGCATGAAATCATAAAACTGTTCTATTTTTTTAGAAAGAATCGCTCAGTATAAGAGTATACAAAATGAATTATCAATATATAGTTCTGTCGTTAATTGGAGTTGGAAAAAATGTCCACTATCCTGTAACATAGAGGGGGAGTGCTGAATAACACGCTATACAGGATGTGATATTTTCAATGTATGGATCAAAAATTATTGGAAAGTAATTTCTTAAAACAAGTTGAATATGTACGTGTGTCAGTAATTGAAGTAGAACAGTGAGTCCATTTTAACATAGTAATTCAGGTAGGTTAGATCAAAAAGAGTAGCCAATCACCAAATTATTTTGTATGCTTCTTTATAGATGTGATCAGAAAGACAGGAAGCATATCAGTAGAAGTGAGTTAGCTATAGTAAGCAGAAAACTTGTCAGGCCTGTATTGTCACTTCTGCCCTTTCAGACCTTACAGGGCACAGATGCAAGAGCATAATGAACACCAGTAATGATTTTATCAAGAAATCTGGCTGGGGCACAATGGTTTTTTCAGGATCATTTCTAAGAGGGTGATGCACTGAATAACTCAAGGTCAGAAGAGATCGGTTCACTGGTTTCTGATCACTTTTTTGAAAGTTGTTTTGCAGAACAAAAAGCAATCTGCAAGCTTCGATAACATGGCGGTTCCAGTGGCTTGGCTCATATCTGTATTGTGGTTATAGGTACATAGATTTAAGGCTTTATGGATTGAATCTCCAACCAAGGCTTTTAAATATGCCTTGGTTGGAGGAGTTACTATCTCTTTCAGTGATGTTTTGCCAAGGAACTCTTTGGAGATTAAAGTTAGTCCAGTTGGTGTTTTTGTATAGGGTGCTCCCAATTCCATTCTGTTTTATGGAAGTTTGGACTTTAGAACTACTCAAGGCCTTTTTAATTTTGAGATCACAGATGTAACATAGGGAAAAAGAAGGACACAGCTTTGTTACTGGTCAGAAAATGCATGTTGCTGAAGTTAGAGAATGCCATAGCACAAAACGCGTTAGACGTTGCTGTTTCTGAAAAGAAAGCTCCAATCTTATGGTTTTTGCAAGTGTCTGTTATGCTGGAGTCTCTATGCTTTCAGTTATACTGATGAAGAAAACTGAAAATACTTGCAAAGCTGCTTCACTCTTCTCCCAAAGTCTGTCAAAGTTAATTTTTTCCTTGACTCATTAAGTTTAATGTGGTTTTAACTCTTAGTTATGTAATCCACTAGATACTGCAGAAGGAGGTATTGTGGTTTTTCCAGACTTGTTTGAAAGAAAAACACAATATTGCTATTGGTTGTTAGCTTGCTCAAGGGTGTGAGATGCTCTATAAGCTCTAAATTAAATAAGATTCCAGTGGCAATATAAAATTGTTTTATTAATTCTGATCAGCAGTATGTAGAAGAGAAATGAGGGAGAAGATTGATAGGTGAGGGAAGAGAACTGAAATAAAGACATTCATTTGGGTGCCTTAACACATTCTTATTCACTGTGCTCATGAAGGAAAAGAAGAATATTTGAACAGAACAAGTATATGTCCTTGTTACTGAAGGCAGCCCCAATTACTGGAGAGATTTTAAATCATGGGAGCAAAAAAAACAGAGATAGGAGAACTTTGCTGGCGATATATTGAGGCTGACACCTTCAATGGAACTGCTAGAATCTGCAGATCTGTCGCACTATTAGACTGAAATTATTGAGAACTTTGAAGGTGAAAATAGACTTTATTAAATTGAAAGTTAAGTCTAAAGGAAATCAGTAATACCTTCATACTGGGGACTAATTTTGTCCCTTTTATTCCTAGATGAAAACTGACAGTATTCCATTTAAGTAGCTTCTAAGTAATCTGTAATAAAAATACCTTGGCAATATTGTAGTTCTCCTTCACAATAAACATTGTAGACCTACGATACCATGCTTGAAAGGAAAACAAACAAGTTTTAGACTACATTAAAGTCATCTGAAAGACAGGTAATTATCACCTGAGTGTGAAAAGAGGATCACCAGATAAGTGCAATATACGTGTGTGAGCTTACAATGTTTAGCATTTGGTGTAGCTATTTAATTTATTATTTTCCTGAAGTACTTTCTGTTGAAGAGGTTAATTCGAGCAGCATGAATTCCTTGTTCTGTCCTTAGTCTCTGTGTTTTGAAATGTCTTATATTTCTGTTTTTTAAAGGTCTGAGTTTAACTGCACTTGGTGTTCTAGAAAGACGCAAATTGTCACTAAGCAACCTTTACTCTCTGCTTAAGGCATTTTTATCTCTGTGTATTCAGAGTCCATACAAAACAGTCGAATGCTGTTTAGATTTACATCAGCTAAGCATATGGGGCATCCTGGGTATTTTGGGACATTTTTGCATCTCAAGATGCATTGTGCATCTCAAGAAGTTTTATTCCATGTTCTTCTGTGTTATGGATTTTCAGCATTTCCCTAGTCAGGAATGTTTTGGTTTTGTACAAAACCCAAAATTTTTGTGGAAAGGCAGGAAAGGAACCATAATTTTCTATAATAAAAAGTGGAAAACTATCAGTGTGTTGTGTAAGGGAAGCCATCTTCATTCTTCATCTAGTCTAGCTGAGTGTGTAGCCAGCATTTTGGTGAAAGTCTGAGAGTGAAAGATAGACATTTTCTGTCATACAGTTTTATTGTGTGTTATTAAAGCTATTGCAGTCAAAATGAATACAAGAGACATAGTCTTCAGGAAAAAAAGCAAGAATTAGACTTTTTCTGAATTTCGTAGGGTTTTCTTCCTGGAAAGATCAGTGAAGGCCTCCATAATCCATAGTAAAATGCTTTTGTCTTCTTGGATGTTACAACATTAAATAAGTTTTTAAAGCAATATTTTTATTAATCATTTTGAGATCTCCTTTTAATTTATTATCACATTTCTCCAAATCATCTTTATAGTATTTTAAGCATTTTGACTGTGTGTAATGGTACTACCAGGAAAGAAGCCATTTTAAGTTGGTGATTTGAACTGTAGGTTGATTGGTTTGGAATTTGGATTGATGCTTTCATTTGAGCATGGGTTTTATTCCCCAGTGGAAGTAAAAGAAATATCAAATGAGAGTTAGAGAGTGAAGTTTATTCTATCAAGGGAGATCTTTCCTATGGCAAAGGCATGTTCAGTTGCTGAGAAAGTCTGTACTGAGAAATGTCTTTCTTAATATAACTTCTGTTGGTTTTAAAGCCCTGTATTAAACTCAGAGAAACGAGTCCTGTTAGATATTAATGATAGTAACTGAATAGAATTGTGAATGACAGAAGTAACCTTTGCATACTGAGAACAAAATTTACCATTCTCCCTCACCTTAAAGAGGGGTAGTGAGTAAAAATTTATTTTCTTGACTCTTTGGTGGTCTAAAGCATAGGTATATATACACCTGACAAAAGTAGTAATATTAATCTGATATCTTTAATGATTCAGAAATATCCAGATGTCATAAACTTGTGCTAGTAACAGAAGTTACCACTTTTGTGACTAAGTTGCTGAATGCTTCACTGAAAATAAAAACTGTGTAAAGAAAGGAAATACATAGTTTATCTTGTACAATCAAAAATTACTAAATTGCTCCATAGTTTCCAGAAGTTAAAATAAATACTACAGTCATGCAGCTGTCTATTTAGTTCCCAGCTTGCTGAAAACATGAACAGGTCCTACCGATTTAGCTGGAAAATTATTTTTACAGAAATGATGGCTAAATAAGACACTGGTACAAACTACAAGCAAGGAGTTCATGCAGTTGTCTCGCCTTTAACACATTTTCCAACACGCATAGTCTTCCCAAACTATAAATAAACATTGATTTTGACATAATAAAACTTTGAACTTATTTGTGACTCATCCCTGCATTAAAGATGAAGGGTGTTTTTCCCTTTTCCCTGCCCCCACTCCATAGGATGCAGCTGAGAGAGTCTGTTAACATCAGCTGAAATCACTGAAAGCTCTTTCATTAAATTCAGTAGAAGCTGGATTAAGCAGGTTTTGTCTTTGAACAATGCTCTTGACGGAAGAAATTTTTTTCCCTTTGCCTTGGCATTAAATGGCATATCACCTATTAATTTTCCACAATCAAGGCAATGAGAGTATTAACATCAAAAGAAATAGAAAAATAATAAATTATTCTTCTTTAAACTGATTTCCTTTAAACCTAATCTCCTATAAGGCAAGACTGCACGTACATGCTAGAATAGTAGACAAGTCTTTGCAAGATTGTAGCCTAATCTCTAAGTTTTGTTATCTGTATTCTAAAATGTTATTTATAATTTATTGTGCAAAATTAAAACTAATCTGAATTGTTTACACATTCCACTGATGTTCCACAGATTAGTGTTTATTATTTATTAAGGATATTTTCTTAACATTGTTAATATATATGTTAATTATTTCCTCTAATATTTAATGTCCTTCATCTGCATACACCACTCTTCATACCTACAGTTCCATTAACAAAGTGGGGAGAGAATGTGTTTGTACCTGAATATAGCTTTTTTAATCAGTAGTCTCTTTTTCTCCCCTAACTTTTCTAATATGGTCTATTTATTAATATTCCTTTACAGAAAAAACAGAGAACAAAGGATCTGTCCCAGCTGTTTCATTCATACAATCCATATGATCATAAGGTAAGAAAAAAATATACTACCTATATTTGTTGTTAAGAAAAATTCCAAACATTTGTGATAACTATTTTTCATGTTTAATACAAAAATGAGAGTAAGTTATAAAATTGAAAGCGTGAGGGTATTCATTTTACTTAAATTTTGCTATCATATAGATGTTTCTTTGTTTCTTCAAGCCAAGCTTGAGAAGGTGCATTTTCTGATTTGTGAAACCCATGATTGACATTAACTTCATGAAGTCTAGTATAATTTATAGACTGACACTAAATCCTGCAAAGTGACCATATGTGGTATTGGATTCCCCTCTTTTTTACTCTCTCTTTAGAAACTGTGTTACCCTTGAGTATGTTGCTTAGCCTGCTGTGTCAATTAGGCCCTGAGATACATGATACTAGTGAATTATCTATTGATTCTGGGAGCATGGTTTGAAGAGGCTGCTTTGCTAGCAGCCTGGTGGTTGTCTGGGGGAAGAAGAAGAAATGCACATAAACATTATAACTTGATTCTTATTTGTAAAGTCTGGGAACTCTGGTAAAAAAAAAAAAAAGCAAAAAAAAAACAAAACCAAAACAAAACAAACAAAAAAAAATTTATATATTATAATTCATACTAAATGGAAAAAAAAAGGTCTCTTCCCTAAAGACATTGCAATGTGCAATAAAAAAATAAAGCTGTTACAAGAAGATTTTGGAGAACCAAGAGACAGAGATCACAACATTTCTGTGCAATAACTATGTCATGGGGTTCTTGTAGACCTTATGCAAAAGAGAGCATTAAGCAGCAGATTGAAGGAGAGTTAAGTTTGTAAATGTTTTTGGGGAGTTCCTCTTATCTTGGTTGCATCTGTGGGCATATTTTTTTAAGCAAGCGCACAAAACTCTTTAACAATTTGTCAGCAGCACAAAATGTCTATCTTTGCTACTTCTGTTTTGTGAAGTGTGTGTGATTTTGCAAGTATCCATTAAAACAAAGGAAGATTTGAGATGTTTCTGTTGCTGTTTGGACATTTCAAAGGAAAGTTCTGAATTCTACCTCTTCTCTTCCTGGCCCTGTACCAAATACATTAGAAAAATCAGCTGGGTTTTATATCTGGGAGAAGAAGGTGACAGAAGTGTGTATGTATGTGCACCTATCTCTTTGCGTGAACATATGCATAAATGTGTGTAGCTGCACATATGTCTATGAGAAAGAAGTACAGTGTGTAAATTAATGGATAAAATTTATCAGATAGGTTGTTGCTATGAGAATTCTGTATTTACTAGCAGCTTGAAAATTTATGGTTTAAAAAAATATTGTCAATCAGTAGGTATATTCTATAATTTTAATAATTATATATAATTTCAAGTTAAACCCATCACTTCAAAGTACTTTTTAATAGATTGTCTCCCATTATTTACAAGGATTGGTAAACAAGTCAAGTAAGATCTAATAAGGAGACGCAACTGATGAACTAGGAGCTCTGATATTCCTCTCCATGTCTAAATACTCCTGTACCAAACCCTTTTTATTCATAGTACAAGGAAATTCCATTATTCTTTTATTAGCACTTTTAATGGAACTTGGCCATTTGTAACTCCTGCTGCCTTCCTGCTCATATCCTTTGTGGCATTATATCAAAGTATCCTCGAATGATTTTGGCTGCAGTTGTGAAGACTTTTGCACTCTTTACAAATTAGTCATCAGGCAATGTGGAATTGAATATAAATGCTTAGATATATTCCCTTTTGATCTTTGTTTTAGGACCTTTAAAAAATTATTAAAAGTAGCACAATTGTTTGATGAGTGATTTTGAAGCTCCACTCTTTTGCTCCTAAGCACATTCTGCATATATATACATATATATATATGAGTGTAAAAGAGGAAGGGGAAGAGGAATAAAGTTTATTAAAATAAAGTTTATTAAAATTATGATCTTTCCTCATCTACCATTTGACAGGGAAGGTTTTCCTTCTGCTAACTACTTCCTATTTGTAGTGGCTTCAACAAACTCACTGCAGATTTCTTGCTCTGTGCTTTTAATTCTGCCTCAGCTGCCATTTTCACAATTGTTCCAGTCTAAGGGAGGGCTTTTAATTTTTATATTAAATCTAACAGTAATCAGCATTAATTGGAAGTACAGTTATTTCGAGTGGAGGTCTATATTAGTTTTACTCTAGCTCGGTTTTGGTTGATTTACATGGTGCATAAAGGGAGATTTCGTGATGGCTTTGTGAAGGTGTGGGTGATGTAGGATCATGGCACAAATGGTTGGAATTAGTGACTTCCAGGATTCTTACTTTGTTGATTAAAAGATTTTTCCCTGAGAACCTTTCTAAAGTAGAAAAGAGGTAAACTTAAGGATAAGTTGGCACTTAGTGGCAGTAGTTAAAACAGATGTAAAAAGCTTATGAACTACAGGATTTGCTACCAAGACTTGATAGTACGTCTTCCTTTTGTAATGGGATATCTCCCAGAAAAGAGAAAAATCAATCAAAAAATCAGAAAATGTTCATTCTTGCATGCTTGTGTTTCACTCCCTAAAACAGAAAGTGTTTAGTAACTACACTAATGGAGTAACTACACTGATCTTACTAACCTTATTGCTATTTATGCATGGTCAGGAGACCAATAGCTCTTAGAAATAGTAGCTGTTCCTGGAAATTTTACCTCAGTATGTATTTGCCTATCTAGTGTAAGTCACTGTATCCTGAAAGATTTAAATGTTTGTGGTCCTGCATTCCCAGGTGAAAAGCTAGCTCTTTTATGGAGGTGGAAGCAAGGATTTACTTTTCCTTCCACTTCCAGGTGTGGAGTCTTATCCAGTGAGGCGTTAATTCAGCAGCAAAGGGGGCAGAGCTTTTAAATTCTTCTCTGCAGAAGGGATGGAAAAGTGGGAGATATCCTGCTCCTGCTGATAGCAGGGGAGAAGTAGTTAAGTTTCTGTATTACATTACCATCTAGTTGCCCAACTCATTGTTTAGATGAAACCATATAGCCTCAAATCTCAAAAATTGCCCTTCAGTTGTGTACTTATCCTATCCAGGGTGATTTGAGCCTGCTCTCTTTAACCTGGTGTCACCATACTGCTTACAGAGCCTCCAAATACAGAACCTGTGGGTCTCTCAGCTCCAGTGCCACTGAAAAAGCTTGTTGCAACATCAGTCTTGAATGCCTGGCAAACATATTGAATTCTTGATGTCAGACACATTCAAAGAGTTCCATTTTCATAGACTTTTCTTTTGTTATTGTTAAAATAAATGTCTTCTAAAATTAATTCTTTTCAAAACTAAATAATTATTTAAGAAATACTGACAATATCTTGGGTATGAAAAACTGTTCCAGGTGTGTGATTCCCATTTGTTCAAACTTATTTCCCTTAGCATATGTAAAAATACATAGAACTCTATTTGTAGATGAAGCTATTCCTGGTGCTGAAATACTTGCTTTTTCCTGTGTTTATGTAGAGTAGGAATATGTATAGTCTGGCTTTTCTTGAGAGTCAAGTTCTGATTGCTTTGTAACTTTTCTCTAGTTAGCATTATAACAGATTTTCCAATTATATGTACAGTTTATCATTTTCTAGGACAGTCAGAAAAGGAATATAAAATTGACATCCTCGTGAAGCTGTACCAGCAATAATTTTAGTGTTTCAAAATTTAAAAGGTAGTTGAGGAGCACTCTTTTTACCCTTAGCTATAATCTGACCAGTTTCCTACTAGCTCATTTCATGAAAGATTATGTTTGCACACAAGTAATTTTTTTGTGTGTACACTGTGAGGTTCCACATTGCACACAGGAAGAATTTTACTGTACTTGCAGTAGATGTTTAACTTAAAAATGATGGAGTTGGACCTTTCTCCCAGATTATGTTTGTCCTTTAATATTTATGTCTCATTTTTTTCAAAGCTATTAAAGTAGTTGTGATAGTAGGTCACTTGGTCAGAACAACAGGTTTGAGAAGCTTAATAGGAGTTTGATGACCCCATATGCATCAAGTGTCCAAATTCAGCATCACAGAGCCCTAGTTCCTTTTCTTCTTTTTGTCAGATGAGTTTAAGTATTCAGTCTGGCCCTGGAGCAGTTGTTTAAAACTATAATCCTCAATTTATGCTCTGCAAAAGAATGTTTTTACATATAGTAAACACAGTACAGCAGAAGTACTATTCATTTTGCTGCTTTGCCTCCTTGGGAGGATAGCCAGAGAGACCCTAGGGCATGTCCATACATGCCTCTGGCAGCATGGAGCTGTTACAGTGAGAAATCCCCTGAGAGCTGTGCTTAAAACTCAGCTCTGTATTTGTTTTGCCTTTTGCAACCTGAATCTCTTGCTCTCAAATAGGGCATGATCTATGAAAAAATAAGGTCACATCTTATAGCATTAGGGATTTATTTTGGCATATAGTGTGTCCAACCAAGTAAGAAATAAAGTCAATATTCATGTGATTTGAAAAGAGTTTTTTGAGATATTTTCTGCCAAACTGAAACTGCTCAGGATTAAAAAAAATTAATTCCTATTTCAAAATGTGCTCCAAGTGATGAAATACTGCTAATATAATTGTAAAATCTTCATGCTTTTGAATATTTTTTCTTAATGTGTTTTGGAAATGTTTACTAAAAAAACTAAAACCCCCTCAACAATGCATGTGTGTTTGGCAAGTTGTATGGAGCACTGTGTTAAGACACAAGTAAGTAACAAAAAGCTTTTTTTGTTTGTTTGTTTGTTTGTTCCTTGTGTTTTTTTTCTTGTTAGGATTGTTGGGGTGGGGTTTTGGGGGGGTTTTGCTAGCTCTTAGCCTAGTAAGCAATTTTGGGAGGCAGGGGTGTGATGTCCTGTACTTTGTCGGCTTTGATAAAGATAGTTATGCACATAACTGATTCGAGGAATGTTAATGCAAGATTATGTATGTCTATCCTTAAGGTACCAGTGGCTGCTGTCACTTACAGACCTACCCTGTTTTCAACCAATTATTTCAATAGCATACAGTCTCTTGCTCCAATTTTTAATGAAAATTAAATAATCTAGC